ACAGACTTCGCAGCACTCAGCGGGTCTCGAACCCGTTACCTCTCGGTTGAGCGCTAGGTTCCCTACCACTAGGCAATTGCGCTGTATTGCTAAAGGTAGTTTGACTTAAATCATAAAGGCTAGGAGGTAATTGCGCAACAACAAAAAAAGAAAAAAGCGCACATGGAAGCTAAAACAACTTGTTTTCTTGTAAAACACTCTGATTCAAAGAACACTTACGGGAAACAAAATATAATTAAGGAGATCAAAATTGTGATTTTCTCAATAAGTATGTACACATTATATTCAAACAACATTTGACAAATGTTATTAACAAGACATTTGAATGTTTTCTCTTTCTTCCAAACCCATCAAATTCTGGCATTATAAAGAGGGATTTTCAATAAGTTTCGTGCATGTTATGTATGTTGAACGGAATGCGCGTTTTTAAAAATGACATTGTAGGCGAACTACACTTGATGCCTGTCCGGAGCGAATTTAAAAGGCATTAAACTGGCGTAAATGGATGCGAAAATCAAGAGGCATTTTGCAATTTCTGCTCCGTATTTTCGACATGAACATTCAATTTAACTTTTAAGAAAAGTACGAACAAATGTTGTGTGCTGCGCTGGATTTTCGAAACAGTGGCAATGTATTAATATTCTCTCGTGTTCGATCGAAATAAATGCGAAATTAACGTTGTTTTTCTTGTGCGCGGAACTTAAAAAGTAGGTGTATTTTCCTAAACAGACTTTTCAATTTGTTACCGGTATGTTGATTGTTAACAATGAAGCTACAGTTGTCTGTTTTGGCTTCTAAAATCCTCTTAAAAAGGTCTGTGACTTTTAGTACAATTTGGGCCACTGATACAAGAATCCGCTTAAAGTATTTTTGGGGCACAAATAGTTCGGAATTTAATATTACTATCAATAAACGTGACCAATTTTATCGTTCGAAGTACAAAACTGTATTGCTGGAAAAAATGACATTAAAAAAATCGTTTTGGGGTGTTAAATAAAAAGTCACGCAAAGAACAATTTTCAATACATTTGAAGGCATCATGCGGTAGACGAATATAAAGACGATATTGCTCGTGAAAGGAGTATGACTTTTTTGCCACGAACGTTGCTTTCATTCAGAGTTTATTTTCAACGTTTAAAACACTAAAATCGATGTCATATTCTTTTTTTTTTTTGGACAAATTCCCATGAAAATATACTCCTGAATGTGATACATCATGAAGAATTATACGGAGTTTCAATTAAACTCAATCATTAAATCGTGACTGATCACCTGAACCATCAATTCATTCGGAATGTATTTCTCAGGTTTAACACATCAAGGTATTTCGCTCACATAACTTGGACGAATTATATTTCCAAATGTGACACATCATTAAAAATTACAGGACGTTTTAGTGTAATACGTTTGGTATTTCACAAAATATTGCTCTAAACAACGAGTGGTTTGTTGTATTGGTCAATAATTGTTTGACAATTTCTCTAGACATTCCACATATTTGTGCTATTTTATCATGTCCAATCACCAGATGTTATTTCAGTTCGATACATCGTGTATTTCTAGAGTTATCGTCTGGAAAACGAGTACATGCATGTTGTTTTTGTTCCATGGAAGTTGACTTAATTCATTTTGACAAGTGAATTTTCGCCCTGGACACACTGGGTTTTTGTTACTATATTATTTCAATAGTTTAAAAATTCCCCTAGTCATTCAACATATTTGTGTTATTATATCATGTCAAATCACCAGATGTTATTTCAGTGCGATACATCGGGTATTTCTAGAGTTATTGTCTGGAAAATGAGTATAGTTGTTTTTGTTCCATGAAAGTTGACTTAATTCGTTTGGACAAGTGTATTTTTCGCATTGAACACACTGGGTTGTTCGGGGTATATTATTTTGAATGTTTGACAAGTTCCCTTAACATTCAACAGATTTGTTTAATTATATCATGTCAAATCACCAGATGTTATTTCTGTTCGATACATCGGGTATATCTAGAGTTATCGTCTGGAAAACAAGTACATGTACATGTATGTTGTTTTTGTTTCATAAAAGTTGACTTAATTCGTTCGGACGAGTGTACTGAATTTTCGCACCGAACACACTGGGTTGTTCGAATTATATTATTTCAATTGTGTGACAAAGTTCTCTTAACATTCAACAGATTTGTGTTGCTATATAATGTCAAATCACCAGATGTTGTTTCAGTTCGATACATCAGGCCTCTTTAGAGTTATCATCTGGAAACGAGTATAGTTGCTTTTGTTCCATGGAAGTTGACTTAAAGGCAATATACATGTACAACATTTGCAAACATCTAAAAACAGAACTGTTAGTGAATGACGGTTTAAAGCATCCTGTAAAATAATGGCACCGGGTGTGCCATGATTTTCAAGAAAGGTGGGAGTTTTATAGCAATTTACAACGATGGTCGGCCAACCATCGTTGAAAAAATTGGGTTGTTTTTTCAATTTCAATTTCCAAAATTTAGTCCACATTTTGTTTGCAGTCGGTTACACATCTGCGAACAGGTACAAGCCAAGCTAGTCTGGTTCCCTGACCTTACAATTCTCCTATGTCTGTGAACTGCTATGTTTCATCTGAAGTGGAGGTCAGGGAACCAGACTACAAGAACCCAATTTTTGTTCTTGGCTTTTCCAGCATCTACGAACACAAAACTTTAAACAGGTTAGTATAGCATTATTTGCCATGAACTGCTAACCCCCAAATCCATCCATTTAAAAAATTTACAGCAAAAGCGAATGTTGTATATTCCCTTTAACTCGGTCGGACTAGTGTAATTTTCGCCCTGAACTCACTGGGTTGTGCGGACTATGTTATTTCAATTGTTTGACAATAACTCTTGTCATTCCAGATGTATGTTATTATATCATGTCAAATCACCAGATGTTGTTTCAGTTCGATACATCGGGTATTTCTAGAGTTATCGTCTGAAAAATATTAAGGTTAGTGAAAACCAAGTGCATGAAGTTCCTTGGACTGTCATAGATAATAAGTTGACATGAAAGACACACATTCATTCCCTAAGTAATATAGTAGCCAGAAATATATTGGTATGTTAAATAGACTTAAAGAATATTTTCCCCAGCGTATTTTACTCTCTCTTTATAATACTCTCACTTTGCCTAATTTAATTTACGGTATTCTGGCATGGGGAAGTACATTCCATACTATACTAAATAGACTTTTTCTATTACAAAAGATGGCCGTTCTCTTAATCAGCAATTCTCATTACTCAGCTCATACTAAACCCCTTTTTCTCGATCGTAGGACTCTTAAGCTGAACGACATTTACTCTCTCCAACTTGGAACCTTCTTGTATCAACTTGCACACAATGAATCACCATTTTGCCTCGCTTCAATAGTTTCCACAGTCATATTCATGCATATTCTACACGTCAGACTTCCAATTTTCACCTCCCATTTTCCCAAGCAAATACTTCCCTAAAAACAATCAAGTATCAAGTCCCAAAATTATGGGATTCTCTTCATACAAACCTACACAATGCTCTAACTTTGTAATCATGACGTCATCAGGTATCAAAATTACAAGCGATTTGAGGGCACAATTTGACCCCAAAAAATGTTTGAGCTATATCTCTTGAACTAAATAGAGTATCGTGTTCTTTTTTCCTGAGGTTGTAGATGGTGTCTTGAGTAAATTTCTTATTCCCAGGCACAAAACCGTTAGACCTTTACTTCCGGTGTTACCGGGAGTGCAATAGAAATTGAATCTCATACGAAAACGGAAGCATTTTACTAAATACCAATGTGCATGTGGCGCGCACTCTGATTGCAGATACGTGCATTTTCCTCGTTGTTGACAAATATATTTACAGGGAGAACAAGAATTTTTTGCCTCAATATTCTGTGTGTTTTTCCTATTTGACTCGAAGAATCTGTTTGCCGAAATTGAATTCAATGCATCAGTTACTTCCTGAGTAAGCTTGACCGCAAGGCCCAACTGTGTTTCTGTGCAATAGTAAATAAGCAAATGATCTTTACAGTGACTGCAGATACGCGCGTTTTTCCCGGTATTGACAACAAATGTTTACAGAGAGGACAATAATTTGTTGCCTTAATATTCCGTGCATTTTTCATAGTTGTCATGACCAATCTACTGGCTGAAATTGAATTCGATACATCGTTTACTTCATGAATTAGCGTGTCCGTAGGAGTGTGTCGCAGTTTCTGTAAAATGGGCAAAAGTTCAACAGGGAGAGAGACTTAATCAGCCACGACACACGTCTGGTTGATAAAAGACAGACAAAGCTGTCATAACAAACAAATAAGCATTAGACAAACAGATGGACAGGCAGATGAACAGACACACACGGCACAAATGCAAACAGCATGACAGCCATAACGTAAAAAAATATTGATCCATGGTCATGGGCGTCGCCAGGATTTTTTCTAGAGGGGGGCAAAAATTTTTTTTGCCAAAAAATGCTTGTATTTCTCAACACATTCTCGATTTATCAGTTTTAAAGGGGGGCAGGGACATTTTGCCCCCCCCCCCCAACTCATTAAATTTACACCACTTTGTCTTCGCGCCTCTTTTTCTTTTCTTTTCTTTTCTTTTTTTTTTCTTCCTTTTTTTTTTTTTTTTTTTTTGCTTTTCCAGGGGGGGGGGCAAGTGCCCCCCTTGCCCCCCCCTCGCGACGCCCATGTCCATGGTATTCACTTATAAAGAGATTATTGCTAAATTTAGTCCCGGATATGGCTGAATACAATTTAAAAAATCCTCCATGATTGAACTCATTCCATGCCTCGTTGACGCGCACTGTTAAAGCTATGACTCCCTCCCCCAACCCCAAACACACCCCCCCCCCCCCTCCCCACAAAAACAAAATGTGGCTTTCTGCCACTGATGATGCAGTATTATGTGGACGCTGTCAAGCATTAACGTCTACTCCGGTTCATGTTGTGCATGGAGCAAAATACTGCGTTATTTCACTTTATACTTTTGAACAAGTCATCACTACTTTGTTTTGGCTTTCCACGAAACATCTTCTTTATCCAACAGTAATTGTGTAATGTTGAGCCGGTTTGAATGGTCAACCATTTGTGCATGTATTTGTATATAATTTGCCTACATGTATTGAGAGCATATACTGAAGGCAACAAGGCAGCATTCAGGAAGTCTCTCGATAAGCCCCTTGTGAGGTTACTGTGATAAACACAATGAACGGACAAAAGCACTTCCGCATAGCACTGAAATGACGTAATGCTGGCCAGAGGACAGTATGGGCTCAAATCAATATATGACTCACAGTATTGGACTGTGCGATGATTTCTTTGGTCTTCCCATGTTTGACGAGACTTTGGCATTTAGGAATTGAAAACCATAAAAGTATTGAAACGGGATTGAATACAGTCTTGCTGAATTGATAAGTCAAAATCGACGTCTGCAGATGTCTCCAAACTTGAATCACATTCTAACAACTTGAATTAGGCTATCCACTCGTGTGCTACTCGAACACTTGTTTATTATACCCAATAGGGCCCCTTTATCTCGACCATAATACCAAGAGGTGCTGCGATTTATGTCGTTATGTATCCTTTAACATGGAGATGTGTCATTTCTCAAGTTCGGACGTTTCTCGTACTCTCACCGATGATCTTCCATCGTCATGCTTTTGCCCAAATCTCCGTGGATCAAGGACCAACGGATGTCGCCGTCGTGCAAGGAGGGACTGCGACTTTTGTCTGCGATCTGAGCAAGGTGACCGGGTATAAAATCTACTGGTACTATCTGGAGGGATCATTGGCCAGATACTTGAGCATCGGGAGAGCGGTGGGCGTGAGTACGCCCCTGTCTTCGGACCTTCTGAGTCGCCTGTCCATCATCGGGGATGAAAGTCGAGAGGAGTTTACGTTGAGGATCACGAATGTACGAGCAACTGATAGCGGCGCGTACTCCTGCCTCTATGCACATGATGGAGGTTCCTTGCAGACCGCTGGGGCAGGCAGACTCACCGTGCTAATTCCGCCCAGTATGGAGTCACCAGTGTGCGTCGTGGAGGGTACATCGGGAACCGCTGATCACTTCGATGTGGGAGCTTTGATCAGCCTGTACTGCTACACGTCTGGTGGGGACCCTTCCCCCACCGTGGTTTATTACAGGGACGGGGAGAGGTTGACGGGGCTAGCCCGGTCGATTGGTCACCAGTACCGCCTCGCTGCCGAGGATAACGGCGTGGTGTTCACGTGTGTCATGACCACGCCTGCCTTGGATGAGTCGCGTAACTGCTCTGTGACGCCGCTGAGAATCTTACCACAGGCCACCATCCTACCAGCACTATCTAGAGTTGAGGAGGGGACTTCTGCATCATTCCAATGTAACGGTGAGGGCGTGCCTAGCATTGTAAAGTTCAGATGGAGAGTGACAAATGTTGACACTGGACTTGTCCTACCCGCAGAAAGATACTTCATAACTAAGAACGGCCGCTCATTGGAGATAGCAGTGAAGGAAAATATTGATTTACTCTGTATTGTCAGTGTGCCGTCTGGACTGTCCGGTAATACAACCGTCAGAGTTGAAGTCATTAAGCGAGAGTTCTCCACTATGGCCGTTCAGTCCACTGTAGAGCAGCGCGCATCCAGGGAACCATCCACCTCATCCCCTCCTGTCGCTATCATCGTCGTGGTGGTTGTACTCGCCTTGGTCACCATAGGCCTCGTCACCGTGGTCTGGTTTCTTCGGAAAAGAAAACAACAGAGGAGATCCAAGATACCCATCGATCCAAAAGATGGGCACAATATGAGCGACATGGCTACCGAGTACGCCGAAATCGGCAGACCGACTCAAAACAGCCTGACACCAGACGCTGGGCTGCACCAGGCAGGCATTGTCATGGCAGCGACGGGAGGCGGACTCGTGGCCAGCAACCCTCTCTACGCCCTACCTGATAATCGGGTGCGAGTCGGCTCCATGGGCCGGAGTGAGCAAAGTTCGTCTCCCGACATGAAACCTGACAAGAAACGAGCAACCAACAATAACGACGAAACGATGCCAGCAACAACAGCAAACGATGATGATGCCGACGGGACTCTGACTCGTCTCCTTCCCGCAGACACGCCGCAGTACGCCCAGCTGGACAAGTCCAAGAAGACCAGAAAGAGCGGGGAACACACCGGGATCGAGTACAGCGCCGTGCCGGCGGAGGAGCCTCAAGAAGCTGATTCCGGGCTGGTGTACGCTGATCTTGATCTAGACTCATCATCACCGAGCATCACCGAGAACACGGGGTTGCCCTCCGCCTCGGAAAAGACCGTGTACGCCACGATTCACACTTGATGTTGGGTCGCAGGTGTAATACGTTTGTGACATTTCAAATCACTGTGGATAACAGAACCTTTCATTGTCGCAGTGGCACAACACTTGCTGTGGTCACAAAAGTTTCCTTAGAAATTGAATAGCCATTCAAGCTGCATTTGGTGTTATATACCATTGCAACACGAAATGAAGACAAATCTTCTAAGAATTTTTTTTCGCTCTCTAAACCCAAACAAAAAACGACTTTTCAAGTTACGAAATTTTAAAACAACCACCGTTTTAAAGTTCTGTCCACGGATCACAAAAAAGGTACGCATTCTTTCAGCAAAACAAAAACAATGTACACACATCCCTATGTGATTAAGTGATTTGTTTTTGTTTTGCTGAAAGAACGCACACCTTTTTTTGTGATCGATGGACAGAACTTTAAAACGGTGGTTGTGTTTAAAATTCCGTAACTTAAAAATTACACGAGTGATTTGAATAATTCTTGTACTAAAAGAAATATTTTGAAATGTTTTGAAACTTTTGCGAACTCGCAGCTTATGAGTTGGGCTTTCATATCCTAAATTTTGAAAGTGCTACAATGCAGAACATTACTTAAACAATGGTCCCGACATTTGGGTGTCGGGTGGTTGGTTTTTTTTACTTACCCTGTACATACAAGCTGTATACGTGAAATACCCTACCTGCGATAAGGTCGGTTCATACTTCCGGCGAACACGCTTGCGAATAATAAATTTTGACTTTGCAAAACACTAGAAATCCGCCGAAATATTTTGAAATGTTTTGAAACTTTTGCGAACTCGCAGCGCAAAAATTTGCCGTCACAAATTAAGTGGCGCACCCAGGATTTGGTTTTGGGGGGTGGCTCACAAATTTTTTATTTTATTTATTTATTTATTTATTTATTTATTTATTTATTTTTTTTTTTTTTTTTTTTTTTTTCCGTTTGAGTGGAGTTCTAAGACTCCATTTATTCACATCATTCGGCATCAAAATACACACATTACACAATTAACATTCAAACATTTACATCATATATCCTGTTCAAAATCGTATATCACGCAGATAACATTCAAACATTTACATCACAGATCATGGAAAATCATACTTACAAAGACAAATTTACTATATAAAACATCCAAAGTTTCCTATTTTTGAAAAGTAACAACATAAACTAATAAAATAACACTGAATTACATAAGTTGGTTAAACAAATTCAAAACTAAGTCTTCGATATATACAGAATGATGCTGTTAAAAATTTAGGGATAAACAATCACATTTATTATTTTTTTATTCAGATTCATTTCACAAGTGACAAATATTTTCAAGCTGCAGACTTAGAAACAAAATCTTAATTTACCGTCTTGGGTGGTACACAATACAGCGTTTCTAGTGTAAATCGACTGAAATAATGTATCCTCTAGTGTAGCTTTTTCTCGAGTTATGAATCTTTTCAAATTACTTTTGTATGCCTCCAGGACATTGCAAGAGCCTCCCTTCCAAAAAATAAAACTACATCTAATTTTCCATATGACCCTATGTAGGCGGCCGACAAAAAATAAACACAACTGGTTTGTAATACCTTGTCCTAATATTCGGGTTTTATCAGATAAACAGAAACTGGGATTATTCGTATACTTCTTAATAATGTTTTCAACAAACAACCAAGAGTCCACATGATTTACACAATTAATAAACAGGTGCTCTATAGTTTCACTTTCTCCTTTACACAGGGAACACTTATCATCGTCTAATATACCGAAACGTTTTAATTTATCTTTCGTGGGAAGAATTTTATGCTTTAATTTGTACCAGATGTCTCTGTCGTCTTCATCGAGAAATTTACACCCTCCAATAAGCCATATTTGTTTCCATTCCAAACTGTCTGCGTGAAAAATATTTTCCCAAACCTTTTGAACTTTCGGAGTAGCCAGGTTGTGATGAATTAAACTAGTATATACCATTTTGACATTAGTACAAGATAACTGTATTATTTTGTCCTTCTTGTCCTTCAAGGTAACAGAATTCAAGAAATGGTTGGCCGGACCTTCTCTACATTCGTTAATATAATCCTCATTAACATTTTTCTTGATGCATGCAACGATTCTTCCAGCGTTTATCGGCAAAATGTTACACATTTGAGCTACTTTACTGAAAGAAATTACTTGACCGTTTTCTAAAACTTGACCCAGATAGAAGATGTTCTGCCCTTTGAGAACTCTGCTATTCATAACAGTCTCACAATCGCCTGTGACAACATTATTCTCCCACAGCGGGAGTTCCCTGGTTTCATTAATACATGAAAAGGTATTATCGACATTGACAGTTTTGTCGAAATCCTTAATCAACTCTTTATAAAAAGGCTGCGTTTCTTTAACTGCTGTCTTGTGATTACTGAAAATATACCAACCTAGATTATTAAAACCGCTTGACTGAAAGAGAGAATATTCGAACAAAACTTTCCACTTGCCAGAAACGCTGATAAATCTTTTTAATACGTTAATTTTTAAGGAACATAACTTGGCCTTAATATCCAAAACACCCAAACCTCCTTTGCTGGCAGGACTACACATAGTTATCCTGCTGATTTTGTCAATTTTACCGTCCCAGATAAAGGCCCATTTAATTCTTTCCATTTGATTTATGTAATCATCAGGGCAATGGAGAACACTGCCGTAGTAGGACAGGCTTGCGCCAATGTAACTATTAACCACAATTGTTTTGCCTTTCAGTGTTAAATTCCTATTTTTCCATTTTTTTAGAACAGCGGTCATTTTACCAACTCGACTTCCCCAATTCCTGTCGGTGTTGTCGTCGTTACCGAAATATATGCCTAAAATTTTTAAGTGATCATTGACCCAATTAAAACCACCCGGTTTATCCTGACGATTTTTCCACTTACCCATCCAAAGGCCATTGGACTTTTGAAAATTGATTTTCGATCCCGAACCGCTACTGTAAGTCGTAAAAATATTATCCAGAGTATCAAAATCGCGATTATCAGAAACAAAAATGGTAGTGTCATCCGCATGTTGGACAATTTTCAAAGTTTCATTCGGACAGTTAGGTAGAGGAAAGCCTCTGATCAGACGATTATTTCTAATAAGACAGGCCAAACCTTCGGCACAAATTGTGTACAGCAGGGGAGACAGAGGGCACCCCTGCCGAATACCCCTAGACACTTTAAAGGGCTCCGTAATAAAATTATTTACAATTACTGAACTGGAAGGGTTACTGTAAAGAATTTGAATCCAATTAACTAAATGCTGTGGGATACCCATTTTTCCCATGACTCTAAACATGTAAAACCATTCTATTCTATCAAATGCCTTCTCCTGATCTATACTGAGGAGTGCCCTCTCCAGATGTTCATTATTAGCATAATAGATTGCATCTCTAATAACCATCAGATTGTCTTGTATATTTCTTCCAGCTACACCACATGATTGATCTTCCCTTATAATGAAAGGCATGATTCGTTTTAATCGGTTAGTGATAACTTTGGAAATAATTTTGTAATCTACATTAAGCAAACTAATAGGTCTCCAGTTTTTTAAATTACATCTTTCCCCCTTGTTTTTAAAAATCAAACGAATCAGGGCATTATTCATTGAGTAGGGTAGACAGCCTTTAGATTTACATTCGTTAATAACATCTTTGAAATCGTTTTGAAGAATGTCCCAAAATAACTTATAAAATTCAGCTGTTAATCCATCTAAACCCGGTGATTTATCTTTGCTCATTTGTTTAACAGCGCATAGAATTTCAACATCGTCAAAATCGCTATTTAAGGAATCTATTATTTCTTCATCCAAGACAAAACCATCAATTTCATTCAATATAGCGTTAAGTGAGTCGCTGTCAACTTCTTCACTAGTGTATAACTTTTTATAAAAAGAGTTCACATGATTACACATCTGATAGGAATCATCATAAGTTACGTCATCTTCTACTAACATATCAAAAGAGTTGTCTTCCGATCTTTGTTTTTCAAAACACTTGAAAAAATGCGAACTTTTCTCTCCATTGATTTTGTTGATATGGGACCTAATTCTCGTCTTTTCGAGTTTTTTTTGCTCGAAGTGTTTGATTTTTTGATTGATGTCGTTTATAACTTTGGTGTTTGGGTTATTTTGGTTCATTTCCTTAGTAAGATCATTTTGGAGATTAGTTTGATAATTTTTTTCCTTGTAGAATTTCTCTAGACCATAAGCTTTCAGGATTTCTTTAATTTTACATTTCCCATAATCCCACCAATTCAACAGATTATCAAAAGATCCCTTCTGCGTTTGCCAATGATTCCAAAAAGTCCGAACTCGATCAACACAAGAATCATCTTTAAAAATGTTATTGTCACAGATCCATCTGCCAGGACCCTTAATAATAGTGCGATTATTCAAAGTGCAAGTAACAAGTAGGTGATCTGACAACCCAGTCGAAATAATGTTTGTTTTTGTCAAAAGGGTATATAACTGACTAGAGACAAATATATAATCAATTCTGCTACTTCTTTTTAGAACTCTATGAAAACAAGTGAAACCCTGTTCTTTTGGATAAAGCTTCTTCCAAACATCGATCATGTCATTTTCTAAAATAATTTTTTTCAGATTTGTAACACTTTTATCATTGCTAGCTCTCGTATCAATTTGACAATTGAAATCACCTGTAACGATCCAGTTTCCGTCGTCTTGTTTCACATACTCGGAAAGAGCACTAAAAAACCTTTGTCTGTCATACATAGGATTTGGAGTGTAAACACAAAGTAAGTGAAACTCTAAATTTCTAAAAGAAAAATCACAGCGGATGATTCGACCTTCATTATCTCTATCAGGATTTGTGAATTGGATCCCACTTCTGTTTGACGCCAAAATAGCCACTCCTCTTGAGTCACTTTGGCCGTGGCTAAACAAAATGTCCCCACCCCACTGATTTTTCCACAAGACCTCATCTGAACTGACCGTGTGAGTTTCTTGAAGACACACAAGATCGTAATTACCCTTTTTAAGTTGATTGAATAAATTTTCCCTTTTCTCCCCCTTGCGTAGCCCGTTGACGTTAAATGTGGCTATTCTGAGCATCAAACAAAGCAGGAGAAAACGGAGTATGATTTACAGTACAAGCAAAAACAAATGAAACCCTCAAGAATTCAAGATTGTGTTGCTTTACCCTTCCCTCGTCCTCTCGGCCCTCGACTAGGCGATGCCTTCTGGTCCTTTTCCTTCCTTTCCCAGCTTGTTCTTTTCTTGCGGAGTCTCTCCACGCCCCCTCTCATATACCTAACGAAATCTTCATCTTCGTTGTCTGTAGGTTGTGATGACGGAATAATGTCTTGTGATGCGTTCCGCCCACTCTGTATCTGCTTTATGGTTTGTTGGCTGGTCTGCGGTGCTAACCGAGGTGCGTTTTGAGATACAGTTTGTGGTTCAGCCTGCGTTGTAGTCATCAGTGGGGTCTCCGGTATAGTATGCAGAACTGTCTGCTGTGTGATCTGCGTTGCGATCTGTGATGCGATCTGCGTTGCGATCTGCGATGCAATCTGCGGTGCAATCTGCGGTGCAATCTGCGGTGCAGTCTGCTGTTCGGTCTGCTGTGCAGTCTGCGATGTGGTCTGAGGTGTGGTCTGCGGTACGGTTTGCGGTACGGTCTGCTGTGTGGTCTGCGTTGTGGTCTGCGATATGGTCTGCGGTGTGGTCTGCGGTGTGGTCTTCAAAGTTGTCTGCATTGGGATCTGCGATGCGATCTGCGATGCTGTCTGCTTTGCAGTCTGCTGTATGGTCTGCGGTGCGATCTGTGATGCTGTCTGCGGTGCAGTCTGTTGTATGATCTGCGATGTGGTCTGCAGTGCTGACTGTGGTGCGATCTGTGATGCTATCTCCGGTGTACTCTGCGGTGTGGTCTGCAGTGTGGTCTGCGATGTGGTCTTGGGTGGGGTCTGCTGTTCGGTCTGCTGTTCGGTCTGCTGTTCGGTCTGCTGTGCGATCTGCGGTGCTGTCTGCTGGGTGTCTTGTCGGCTAGTCTGCTCATGGGTCTGTGGTTCTTGTTGATTGGATTGCTCCATCTCTTCCTCTTCTTCTCTGGTTATTTTCCTGTAGCTTTCCCCCACATTTTCCTCTTCCGTGTCTTGGTTTTTCCTCTTTTTGCAATATTTTTTCCCATCCTTGAAGCGGTAGGTTGGCAGGTTGTATTTCTTGGTTAGAGTTAGCGGTTCGATTTGGGTTTCATCGAAGATGGAGTCTTCAGTGTCGTAGTGTGTCGTCGATTCTCGGTCGTCTTGACTTCCGCCAGGGATTGCTAGGACGGGAGTATTTACTCGCGATTCTTCATCTGATTCTACTTCCAATCTATCTTTGCGACTGTTTTCATCATGATGTGCCGAAGCTCTATGCCCGTATGCGCCGCAGACGTAGCACCTCCCCCGGGCCGGACAGTCTCGGGCGAAGTGGTCCGTTGCCTCGCAGATCTTACATGTTTTGAGCTGTCCCTTATGTCGTATTGGCAGGGTGAAACTTCCAAGTCTGATGTAGCTGGGGATTGGTTTCATTAGATTCTTGATCAAACAGCTCCGCACTCCTGTTTCTACATTACTGTCGAAGTCATGATATTGTCTTTTTATGTTCACCACTGACCCATAAGCAGACAGAGCCGAAATGACCGCCTGGTCGCTGAGTTCGTAGGGTGCTTTTACGTACGCAACTACTGAATTAGCTATGCTTGCCCTCTCGCATTGCACCAGCAACCCATTCAATACCAGTCCATAGTTCGCTAGTCTTTCACAATCAGCTTCGTTGTCCAACGTAACATTGTACCATTTGTTATTGAGTTCTGCTATGCACTTCATTGTGTCTTTGCTTTTCAATTCCTTCTTTACAGCTTCGTAGACTTCTTCAGGCGTGACGATGTCTTCTATTCCTCTTGTATTAAAACGCACCGTGTTAGGGCGTCGTAGCTGGGGTCGCCCCGATCTATACATGATGGCCCGTCCAAAATGGCGACCACCTCTCAACGTAGAATACTGAAAGTTGGGAGAACCGCGGGCTAAAGCCCTCACACCTCCTCGGAACTCCCAGAAATGTCTTATTTAATATCTATACTCACAGGGAAGAACAATATACTCGCTATGATGACGAAAATCGATCGGTATTCGGTTGAAAGAAGTCAAATCTGCGAGAGCGATGTGAAACGTGTCTTGCGTCTTCCACGATATTTATTTATTTATTTATTTATTTATTTATTTATTTATTTTTTTTTTTTTTTGGGGGGGGGGGACTATTTTGACGTTGGTGGCACCACTTGCCCCCCTATTATTCTACTCGAAAATAGGCCACATACATATCACCAAGGTCAAATCGTGGGACTAAAAAAAAAATACCTGGCCCCGAGGCGCCCCCCCCCCCCCCGGGTGCGCCACTGCACACATTCCACAAATTCGTGTTCGTGTTCGCTTTCGCGACTAGTATGAACCGACATTTAAAGGTAAAGTAGACCATTGTATAATTGGTGCATTGTTTTTCGATTGAAGCAACAAAATAGTACACATTCACGGATTTGCCAAACCAACTGTCAACGGAAATTTCCAAAAATGGATCACTTGACGCATCTTTGGGAATAAACTTGTTGGTTGTTTACTCTTCAAGCATGCCAGAATTGATAATTTCACAGGGAGTTTAGTGTTATTACAAGTAAGATTTTAACCAAAATTTGGTCGGTTACTTTTTGAATAGCTTAGGTGGCAAACACTGACCATAAAATCTATGTACATGTATACAATGTGTTTATATCAATATTTACCAAAAGTATAACGTGTGTGCTATTATTTTATCATATGCATCACTGATATTTTCTTTCAATATACACATCAAATATACACGGGTTTTTACGGGGGTGGCTTGAGCCGCTAAGTTTGCCAGTAAACAGAGGCTTACGTTTTATGGTCAGTTTAAAAGAGTATTTTTTACTTTCCAATCATTAATAACTGTTAACCTGTTGGTATTTATTGAAGATAACACTCACTGTTCAGAAGCGTCCTTGCTGGGAAATAATTGAAGGTGGCTATGTTATTTTTTTTTTAATGTATTAATCATTTTGTATCAAATTATACAACATTTTAGTCTTTTTAACTAATTTTTTTAATCTTATTATACATTTTCAGAGACAGGCTGGTCCTGCGAAACCGCTAAATAAATGAATGAAACAGTACAATGTAAATCAAGCAAGATTCACAAGCAAAACCATTTATGTTACTCCAAACCCGAGGCACAAACGAGGGTCATTATTTCCTCAGAGTTGTCCAGAAAAGAATATTGCCCAATACAATTGTAAGTTGAGAGCTTTAGCAATATTTCACCTTCTATAAGTGGCATATGTCGCCCCTATGGCTGTGACCTACATCTGAACGGGGAGGGGGGGGGGGTGGTGAGGGTTATGTAATGAAGCCTAATTTACAGATGTTTAAAAACTTAATGACATAATCTAAACGGTGTTTGCGTTTGCGCCTGCCTGTTTCTATTTTCTTTAAATTTCTATACTTTGCGGGTTCAAGTGCATTGAAAGATTCAATATGTTAACCTTTTATACGCACTTTGCCAAGTGCAAATCTCGGCCCTATGTCGTATGTCAAGTCTGGTCGTAGAGTGGTACATGTATTTCCCTGAAGGTCTACAGTCATGACTAATTTCTATAATTTCTAAAGTCACGAAGCTAAATCCTAAATTCAGTTGCAGATAAAGTGTGGTCCACTCATACACATCGCCCTTGAATCAGGCCGGCACTGGTGGATCCGGGTTGGGGGAGGGGTGGCACGGGGTCATCCCCGCCGACTTGCGTGATTTGATTTTAACTGATTAAGGAGTGAAGAAGACTGTTTTCAAATCGATGCTATTAATCCTTTTGCGTTTACGGATTCGTGAAATAATAATAAAAAGAGAGAGAGAGAGAGAGAGAAAAAAAAGAGAGGAGAAAACGCCCCCTTCAGCTTTTTCAAGTTGCAACGGCCGGTATGTGGTAGCAATGTGTGGTAGCAATTATTGTGGTATCTTCTGGAATGAACTCTCATCCAGAAGATTATTTCCTGATAGACCGGTAAAGTCAAAGGTCAAAGAAAAAGTATTTGTTAAACAAAAAGAAAAGGTATTTCCGCGTGGGCTGCCTTTGTGTCCTTGATGTCGCCAATACAGAACCGGCAGGTTTTACGTTAAGCACAATGCGTGCGTGTGCTTACTGGACCTCGTCCGCCGTTTTGTTAGATGGTCACGGAATTGAGTATACGCATGCTTACCGATACCGATACGTGGAACAAATACCACTAAGGCTTTTTGTATTGATATTTTTTACATGGAGAACGTTGTTACTTTTGAATAAAGCGAGTGTGCTCGTTTAGCAGGTTCGCACAAAATGGCGCTAAAATCTGGGAGGCGTATTCTGGTATCTGTTTTTCTGTGGGTCTTTCTCTCTTGGATCAACTGCCGAACTGTTGTGGCACAACTGATAGTAGACGAAGGGCCACAGGATGCCCACGTTCATATCGGCCAAAAAGTGACTTTCGTCTGTGACTTAAGAAACACGGAAGGCTATAATGTGTTTTGGTTTCATCAACAGAGAAATAAGTATCTTACCACTGGAAGACAAGTAAATGTCAATTTAATGCCAGCAGAGCTACGAGATCGTTTGTCGGTCGTTGGTAGAGTAAATCAAGAGGAATTTAGTTTGCGGATTGAGAATGTACAAGTTGCCGATGGCGGGGAGTATTTTTGCCAATATGTCCCACTAATACCCAGTGGAACGACTACTAACGCTGGTGCAGCAGTACTTACTGTTTTGATCCCTCCCAGCCCGGAGTCACCTTATTGTCAAGTTAATCTATTATCAGGGACCCAGGGCGATCGCTTTGAAGTGGGTGATGAGGCGAATTTTCACTGCTACCAGACGGATGGGAATCCCCCTCCAGACCTCACACTTTTAAGAGGTTATAACCAGCTGGCCGGTCCGGGTCGAACGGTCACTCACCGGTACCTGCTCACCGGAGATGACAATGGCGTGACTTTCACTTGTATCATGACCACACCTGCCTTGGATGAGCCGCGTAACTGCTCTGTGATGCCGCTAAGAATCTTACCGAATGCCACCATTCTGCCAGCACTATCCACGGTTGAGGAGGGGGACCAAGCATCGTTTGAATGTTACGGCGAAGGAGAGCCTATCATCGCTAACTACAGATGGAGGGTAGCAAGTGTTGATACTGGAGAGATTTTACCGGCAGATAGGTACTCAGTGTTTGAAAATGGCCGATCCTTGGAGATAGCAGTGATGGAGAATCTTGAATTGCTTTGCATTGTCAGCGTGCCGTCTGGACTGTCCGGAAATGCAACCGCTAGAGTTGAAGTTGTGAAGCGGGAAATGACATCAGCTCTTGCGGGTTCAACAGTCCAGACTAGCCCCACAAACAAGTCGTCGACGTCAGCTGGTATTACAGCCGTTGCCGTTGTGGTGCCAATGGTTATAGTGATACTGGTGACCGCTGTAATTGTCCTGTGTCTGCGGCGAAGGAGACGGCATAAGAAGCCGAACATTTCGATCCGCTACAAATCGAGCGTCATCCGGCACCGTGAGGGTGAGCCAGGTGATGATGCCACGCCGGGTCAAAACGGCCAAACGACCGGCGCTGGAACAGTCTGGGATGAAACTGGTGCAAGGTCGGAGATCGATACCAGCAACTTGTATGCACTACCAGAGAATCACCAGCTAGGCCCACCAGCGAGCCAGAACTACCACCGGTCATCACCGAAGCTAGACGCCGTCCACAGCGCTGTTGGACCCGTCGACCCACATCCAGACACCCCGGTGTACGCCAGACCGGATAAAAAGGCAAAGAACCTGAAGGAGAATGAGTACAGCTCCGTGCCGGTGGAGGAACCCAAAGAGGCAGATTCCGGTCTGGTGTACGCTGATCTTGAACTAGACTCTTCATCAGCAAGCAAAGAGTTGGATAGGACGGGGCTGCCCTCGGGCACAGAGCAGACCATGTACGCCACTATTCGCTCTTAAATTTACCGGACTTTTAGACCTGTATGATTTTAGGATGGTGACGGTCGTGTTATCTGGCTGCTTTTGAAAATTAATTTGTCAGTAAGCTGTACAATTTTATGTATGTGGTGGAATTTTTGTGTGTTGGGGAGATACAAAATAATAATGTTGAAGTTTTTCCCTTCACCATCTTGATCGCTAAGACGTCTGCACTATCAAGCAGAAGGTCGTCGGTGAAGGTCAACAAGTAGCTTAAATTTTAAAATCTAATTTAAAAAAAAAAAGGTTGTTCAATTATCGCGACGTCTAGTCTGCCCTGGACTCCACTTAATACCTGAACTTTCAACATTCCTTTCCTTCAACAGGGGTCAAACAATGATTATTGGTCACACCCACCACCCACTGTCTTGAGGCTAATTTGTCAAAACTTTGATTTAAACTTAGTATCAATTGGAGATATCTGAAATAGATGAAGAAAAGGTTTATACTGATAGAAGCAGAGTTTATGCTGTTGGTCGGGACATGGATTCTAAATTTAAATATGAGTCAACTTCAGTTGACTCATGTTGGTTTTTTTTAGTCAATGGCAGTTGACTAAAAAATTCAGGGTTTTTTGGTTTCAATTGTTGTTAGTCAACTGCAGTTGATTCAAAGACTTGCATGGTTATTCTTTGTCAATAAGATTGTACATTACTGTATATCAGTGGATGAAATACTCCTTGGTGGGTTGGCATAAATGATGAGGATGATGATGTATGCATAATAACAGAGCAAGGGTCAATGACTTGATTCTGGAAATGAAATGGACTTTGTCTCCTGACCTATTTCCGCCTTTGGAGCCGGAAGTACAGTCCGAAGTAATCAGAGTACATGTACATGTTACCCTGTCCTTTCAAAAGCTTACCGAAGAGACCCTATGCTTTTGAGCTCGCTGATAACAATACTGACTACTAGATTAAAGAGGTTGTGGAATGCTCGAAGACATTTCCGTCATTTTTCGGGTGTATGTAGCCTAAGGTGTGATGAAATAAAAACGACTATTGTTTCTGTCATGAAATGAGTACAAAAGGTAATTTTGTGAGCTGTTTTTCAGGTCCAGTTTCGACCCGAACGTGCAACTGTGTAAAAGTCGTCGTTGCGGGCAGCAAACAAAACACAGTAAATCGTGACGTAATAAACAGGACTCGTGTATGCTACTGTGCATCGGGAGTCCTGTTTATTACGTCACGATTTACTGTGTTTTGTTTGCTGCCCGCAACGACGACATTTACACAGTTGCACGTTCGGGTCGAAACAGGACCTGAAAACCGCTCTCAAAAGTACCTTTTGTACTCATTTCATGACAGAAACAATAGTCGTTTTTATTTCATCACACCTTAGGCTACATATACCCGAAAAATGACGGAAATGTCTTCGAGTATTCCACATCCTCTTTAACTGATTCCCCAAACAAAAGTACAACGCTTGTGTTGATGGTAGGAGGGTTTGGCAGAACTATGTGGACGACTTATTTGAAGAACTATAATGTAATGCCTGGCTTTTTCTTCTTGTAAAATGTGCTGAATTGATTCACTGAAAAAAAAATCGACATCTTAGTGAGGCAGATAGGGGAGATAAAAGCAATGTTAACAATTTTCAAAATGGCTGCCATTGATTGTCATTCTACCTATATTTTTTTCCGAAGGGCAAATCTGCGATTGCCCTATAGCCAAATATCTTTCTCACTGCATTCTCTGACTGTGTGTCAAATGCCATGCTTGTATCATCTAAGGCACAATCCCATCACCTATCTGCCGTACCGTACTACATGTACTTCAAAATTCAATTCTTTTCAATATACATGTATAAATAAATGTGTTTTTCTAATCAAGATCTCTATTAAAGAACTGTTTAAGGGGTTGGGGTTAACGTCCTGTGCATTGTTACTATTACTATTGAAATAAAGGAATAAAATGTTTTTCTCGGAATGACGTTTTGCATTTATTTGGCACCGTGATGTCGGGGGTTAATGACGCATGCCAATTGTGAACGTATTGGCCATCTTTTTCTTTTCTTCTTACACCTTTTCATAGTAGGTCTAAAGATTATACTTCAAAAGCGGGAAATGCTTCGAATGATCGTACTTCATGTATAGCACACACGCAACAAATGCAGGCTTGTTGGTCACAGGCAAACTGTAATAGCGCCCTCATGGAAAGTCAAAAACAGACTAGCCGTTTGCAGAACATCCGTACCATGGATATAATGGCCCAACGGAAATGCACCACCAAGTTAAAGGGCTGACTAGGATATGGTCATATTTGGAAAGATCTTGTAAATGTAGAATAAAATGAACTTACTAAATACCTTCAAATTTGGCGGGTCTGTAAAGGGGACCTTTTGCTCTAAAGTTCGGGTCGTGATGGAGCTATAGAATAGTATAACTGCTGGAAATACTTCTACGCGTCGTATTTGTATAACACTTCAAAAAAAACTGTTCAAGACCTTTATTGAAATGTTAGGCAAACAAAACCCCAGATTTTTTTATCAGGATTGGAGGACATTGTGCTTTTTTAAAATATCAACCCACCCATTCCTTGTGCTGACGTGGATGACAGTCTCGTTTGAAATGAAACGAAATTTAGAAACAGATAACATTAGAACTCGGTGAAAATGGAGGCAATTAGGTAAGGCATTTTGATACAAGAAGATGGATATGCAATATCGTGGGTGGGCAGTAGGGACTTAACTTCGGTCCAAGTTGAAGGGCGGCACTTGGAGGGGGCTCATTTTCTGGAGGTTGCCTCTAAAGATGTTCTGTCGGTGCTCTTCAACAGATTCGATTATAGTTTTACTCCTACCGAATTTGGAGTGCATGTCTTAAGTAAGATGAAAGCTGATGACCTCTATTGACATCTTGAAGAGGGACACTGGCTGCCTGATTTAAAGCTGGACACTTCTAAATGGATACTTCCATTTGGAGGGCGTGTCATCTGTGGTGCCCAGGGTGCTCTTGCGGTGCGGATACCTGGACGTGATGATGATGTTGAACAAATTCTGTCCTCTGCATATTTTTTAAAGGAACGTTTTCGTAAATTATTTTGGGTGTCTATCTTCTAAAGAGGCTTTTATTCATTGAGGTACTGTTGGGCATAATCAGATATGCCCTGAATTGACCGATCCCAAAATTATCAATTATAAGAAAGGGAGAAACCAGGCTACCCAGCGAAAACTAAATTATTGTCAGGCCGAAACAAAATGGAAATCCTTGCAGTAATTATTCTTTAACTAAATGTAGACCGACTTTTATTTCGTTACTGGGTAGAAAGCAGGTTGCCTTTTATTTCGTCTTTGAAAAATGCACCACATTTTTTTTTTTTTTTACATTTTTACAACAGAGTCATTATTCCTTCCACCTTTAAATGTATTCATTTCTCACCATTGACGAGACATGGAAAATTACAAATGGTACTCAGACGCCTAGTGCAATGAATACACCACTTCCTTTTAGTCATCCGCAAAATAAACACTTTCACATTCTCAGCGCGTACAGTGTCATAGACACCGGAAACCACTACAGAATAAAAGAAATTATTGACTAGTAAAGGTTAGCCTGAAATGAACTTGGTGGAATTCAAGCGAGTATTCATTGGTATGCAGCAAGAGTGAACTGGGATGCTATTTTTATGTGTGTGCGCATTGGTTAAAGTAACATCAGCCTCCGCATGACGTAGGCCCTTATACGTCTCTGAGGATGACATTGCCATTATGTAGTGAAGAGTTCAAAATCACTGCACGGGAACTCGACTTTTCATTACAATGCGAGGCAGCAAACTTACATTACCGATCACAGGGCTTAGCACAGATAAAGTCTTGTTGCTCCATTTTATTTGCCGTCAGACCAGCGTATCATTGTGACTAGTGTCACGATGTTCTTTATAGACGTGAGACGTGTTCTTGCTATAGAGTGCCTCTTTATCTTCTTGATGGCTTCCAGCGTCAAGGCCCAACCCCAGATACAAACAGGCCCACAGGATGCTGTCGTTCGCGAAGGAGACACCGTCGAGTTTCTTTGTGACTTGACAAATGTACGTGGTTATACCATCCGCTGGTGTTATCAAAGACAGACGGGAAGCCATCCGAGGTATCTAAGCATTAACAGACAAGTAGGCGTAGACACACTTCTATCCCCAGAGCTGCTTCGACGTCTGTCCATCAATGGTAATGACAGCCAACACGAGTTTACTTTGAAGATCATAAACGTAAAGGAAACTGATGAAGGGACGTATTCGTGCAGGTATAACTATCCTGGGTACGTAATAGAAAATTTAGGCACAGCTGAGCTTACGGTTCTGGTACCACCATCCACAGATTCACCGAGGTGCAGTGTAGAACCAGAATCAAGGGCATTGGGCGACACTGTGTTTCTTTACTGCATTTCGTATAGAGGAAAACCTACACCAACCATCACGTATTATAAGGAGACTGAAGAAGTAACAGGTCAAGCGACTTCAATTAGTCTTCGCTATCAGTTAAAAGCTCAAGACAATGGTGTGATTTTCACTTGCATCATGACCACACCTGCCTTGGATGAGCCGCGTAACTGCTCTGTGATGCCGCTGAGAATCTTACCGACTGCCACCATCCTACCCGCAGTATCTAGGGTTGAGGAGGGGACCTCTACATCATTCCAATGTAATGGGGAGGGCGTGCCTAATATCGCCAACTACAGTTGGAAAGTAATCGACACTGAAACTGGACACACCCTACCGACAGAGAGGTACACAGTGTCTGGGGATGGGCAAACTCTGGATATAACAGTGACGAAGAATCTTCATTTGGTCTGCATTGTCAGTGTGCCGTCGGGATTGACCGGTAACTCCACTGCGATGGTTAAGGTTACTGAGCGGGTACAAACAACTGTGAAGGAGGGCCTGACTATGACGGAGCCCCACGGAGGCCCTGCAAACCCCGACCCCTCGGGCGAATCCTCGATGTCGCTGGTTGTACTCATCGCTGCCGTGGTTGCGGTTGTGGTTATTATAGTGGTGATCGTCCTCGTCATTTTCGTGCGGCGAAGAAAAAAGTGGAGAAAGCCGAAGATTCCAATCGACTCGAAGGACGGATTCAGAATGCGTGTCACCGAGGGCGAGTACAATGAACCGACAGCGGGACAAGACGGCCAAACAGTGGGCGCAGGACTCCCACATGATGCCAATAATCAAGGCACTGTGAATGGTGCAGAGGCCTTTTCAGGGGCAGCTTCGCACTCAGAACCAGCCACACGAGCCAAGGCCAACGGCAAGGACGTGAGAAGCCATGTGGAACCCCCGGCCGCTGCCCATCCAGACATCCCGATGTACGCCCAGCTGGACAAACCCAAGAATGCCAGGAAGACCGAGGACGTCACCGGGAGTGAGTACAGCAGTGTTCCAGTGGAGGAGCCCGAGCCCACTGCGGCTGATTTTGGGCTGGTGTACGCTGATCTGGACCTTCAGTCACCGGGCACGGCCGCCGTGGACACGGGAGCAGCCTCGGCCTCAGAGCAGACTGTCTACGCTATGATCCGCACTTGATTCCCACAATAGGAACCCCTGTTTGCGTTTTAAAAAAAAACGTATTGGCCTCCAAGTACACCGATCTCCTCTTAAAGATTAGATGCTAGGAGGATTCTAAAGAGAGTAGCGTGTTAAAAAACGTTTTGCCAAATGTCGCCTTCGGTCACAATAGAGTTAGTCATAATGTATAAAATGAGTTTTTTGTTTGAAAAGCATATTTATAGGATTTATGCTAATACATTAATATATGTACTTCACGCGCTTCG